AGAATTTTATTTTCTTTCGTTTTCAGAGATTTTTCATTTAGTTCTTTTAAACTAATTAGTCTTTTAATTAATCATCTTTTAATTATGTCTATTATTTTATATCGGAACTAAATTTTAATAAATTAATCAGGCATTATGTTCATTACGTTAAACGTTAATACCGACTTGATATAATCATGTTTTCTTTTTAAATAATTTCACCGCACGCAACGTAATAAAACCATTAGGACGCAATGGGTTACTGAGTGTTACAGAACATGAGAGAAAAACTTCTGTTAAGGAGAGAGAGAACAATTAAAGAATAAGAAGAAGACAAAGACTAACGATATATATTGCATTTAAATTTTTCAAAATCAAAGATAACTGGGAAACAGAAAGCTGGAAGTTAATTCCACAAATGAGAAGTGCGAGAGAAGAAATAGATTTATAAACGTTTCTTATTTATTCCTTATTCTATCATTCTGTTTCCTTGAAATCCATATTTGTTCTATATTTGATTCATATATAATAATAATAATAATAATGGACTCTCCCGTCGGTTGCGACGTATGAGGTTCTGCCAGCTTATTGATTCAGTTATGAAATTTTGTGCGATAATCTTAAGTGGAATTTAAGATCCGCTAGTGATTTACAAAGGAGGCCACATATGGAGCAAGTGTGAGGATTGTGAAATGAGATCACTGTTAGATTGGATGACCTTTTAGATCTTGCTCTCGCTTCTTGAAGATGATTCAGACAAGCAGATTAAAAATTACTGTGATTAACATATATATATATATATATATATATATATATATATATATATACAGGTAAAAGGGAACGAATAGAGTACAATTCCAACGTTTGTAACATTTAATTTAAAAGAGAGCTCAATACAAAGTAGAGAAATATTCTTTATTTATGGAAAATAATTTCGTAATCTTTGCTTCTTCCTTTTGTTTAAATTTAACGTAGGTCTTATTTGATTGTTTGATCTAAACAAAGAGCACAAACCTTATAAGGACCCCTCCTCTTTTCTTTGTTTTTCTTTTTTCGTAAAAAGAAGCTGTATTTTGCTTTTAAATGTTATTAAATCGTTCACTCGCCAGTAATTTATAATCGCCCGATGAGATGCGTTGTATGCCCATCGAAACTCGACTGCAGTTGTCTAGAGATTTTGACATGTTTTCGATGTAATATCCTAAAATAAAGTATATATATATATATATGTGTGTGTGTGTGTGTGTGTGTGTGTGTGTGTGTGTGTGTGTGTGTGTGTGTGTGTGTACCGGGTGTAACAGCAAAATTGTCCAAATCGTGTAACAGCATGGGATAATTGTTCAGCCCACAAAATGTTTAATATCTAACTAATTGAGTTTCTTTTCCCCAGGTTTTCAGATAAGACGCGTAGCCATCTAGACACCATCTGTCGTAAGAATCACTGAAAAACCCTAGAAAGAGAAGAGGTTAAAATCGTTTTCTGTCAGCCCTACTATGTCTTCCCAAGTGACCAATGGTTAGAGGAAAAAGATCATTCAGGCCTTCAGTAATAGTATGAACATTCATACCCTGGCTTCCATCTCCGAAGTCTATTCAAGAATCATCAAGAGAACGGCGAATAAGTTTTAAATAGAGGAAACAGTAGTGAGAAAAACTGGATCAGGAGGTCACAATAGCAAGAGAGATCATCATTTTAACTTAGAGCTAAATATATTCTTATTGCGCAAAGTATAGTCCAATAGTGTTATAAATACCTCGGGGAATTCCAGTAAGATATCTTTAATCATTTCTAACATACAACGGTTCAAATCTTAATCTAATAGTTGGACAATTTTGCTGTTACACGTTTTGTTACGTCTGGACTCCGAATGCTGAAGGTAACATCAATCAGCTAAGTGACAATGACCGGTTACGCTCGCTTTCTGAGCACACTTATCTGTCAGGGCGGCTAGCCAATCCCATTCAGGTCCGTTTGGGATTGTTCAATATCTACAGAAACTCACCAGTGATTTATATTGCAACTATGCTGACCGAACCTTAATTACAGTTTTCTGGGAGTAAGCACATAATCTGGAATGAAGAGCAGTTTGATGCCAGTACGCTAACACCCTCGATCACGATGACTCGTGTCTTCCGAACAGTTCTGTCTTCCCAATATCACACGCAATTCTTACATTAACCCGTTCAGACACTTTCCAAAGGCGACACGCGCTGGGATCGGCTCTTCAGATCGATTTCATCAAGTTCTGACCACACGGCCACGCGTATATTTCTCAACCATTGAGAATTCCTTGATGCTGCCGCAACCTCAATTTTTCAATTCCCTCACACACACACACACACACACACACACACACACACACACACACATATATATATATATATATATATATATTACAGCAAAAAAAAATACCCCAGCATCGGAATAGACTATTTCAAAATGTCCCTTACCGGCTTTCGTCAGCCACTAAGTACTTGACTTCGGAGCGCTTATTTATGCATTTTTCAAAGCCAGTCTCTGGTATGCAGCTTGTTAATGAGAGTGAGTCTGTGTTAGCGATTGGTGGGAGCGTAAAGTATCTTATCTCGGAGGAATCGGTTTGGGTTCGGAGTTTATTTATGGCTAGGATTTTTCCTTATTTCTTTTTTCCTTGATTTCGTTCATCTCTATTTCTACCCACACATTTTAATCGGATATCACCTCATGCAAAGCAGTAAAGCCACTAAGACAAGGTGATTACAAGGTGTGGAGGAATTAGGATTAGGAACTGAAACATTAATAATGAGAGGTAAGAGAAAAGAGTAATCAGGAGGACAGCAGATAGTAATTGACATTGCATTTAAAGTTGGCTAGAAAGTATGAAACCCGAAGGGAGTTCCACAAGCGAGAAGTGCGAGAGAAGAAGCTGTTAGCATAGAACTTACGGTTACATCTAGCCAGATCAGCTGTTAATTGATGAGATCTCGACTCCACTCTAGTACTGCGCTTAAATTCAAAAAGTCCAGGTACCGTAGCGAAAAAGTCATCCGAACAATTACTATGAAATTATTTATAGAAAAGCGTATGACGGTGGGAAAGTAACTGAAACCGAGTCACTAAATCAGGACGAATAAAATTGATGATTTTTCTTTTGGCATTACCAAAGAGGTCAAGGTAAATAGCGGGAGCACAGGACAATATGTGATAGCGATATTCTAAGCATAGACGAATGGTAGACTTATAAACATGTAAGATTGTCTCGCCAGGCACAGTGAACCGAAAATCTTAGCAGCTGACCTTACAATGGATTCAATATAGTCTTCCCACTTCAAGTCAACAGAGAACGTTTGCTCAAGAAAGCGAAATGAGTCACTTTTCGGGAGGTTAGCATCAGCCATGATGATGGAAGAGAGAGAGGTTTCTCGGATGATTAATGGCTGATATATATTTGTAGTAAAAGATACTTGCATCATATCTGTTGAAGCTTAAATAAGCATGGAATAATACAACACAAAATGTACGTTAACAAAATGTATTGAAACAAAGAATAGGTACACAATATTTACAGTTAGTTTGGTATATTCTTGGGAAGACTGTTCCTGCATAATGGGTTGACTAAATCGCAGTCGGGCAGAGTCTCTGGATTCAATTTCTTAATCTCTACTATCTTCCCCGTCTTCCGGTACCAACCCATATTTATATGGTCGGTAGTCCGCTTATGTAAATTAGGTGTATCATACACAACAATATCACACCCCCTAATTCAATTTAGTAGATATCAAACGCAGTAGGTCAGTTCTGCGTTCTTTATCTTCCATGGGAACAGAAGATCCACCAGGGTACCTCTATTAAAACAATAGCAGCAAATACAGTGCCACATCTAGGCTTATAGGATTTTTAATTAGACGCTGTAGGGCTGGCAATATGTGATATTGTTCTATCAATCATAGATGTTCCCAACTGGTGATAATGTTTGACTGTGGTAGCTACCCGATGAGATCATGAACCCAATTATTGACAAGGCACTGTGTATGCTGGTGGTGTTTCCGTGATGATTTGGGGTACGTCTACCTGTTCACCAAAATCCGTTAATTACCAGTATGTATGTCGGGTGGCACTACTATACTTTGACGTCATGACCTGACCTTTAGCAGCTGTCATTTGACATTTGGTGAGTCAATGTGAGGATTCGCTTTGACTGCACATGGCAAAGTAGCAGAAATTACAGGAATTCGAACCATGATAGTGGATATCAGACGGATGGAACATTCTAAAACTTGTCGGGTCACTTGTCCTTCCTTGATCGACGGAGTCAACAGATCTGAGAAAAGAGACTACCGTTCACCGTGGACTGCGTAGTGGCCGCCCGACTACTTATCCTTAATGATCGTGACCAGAGGTGTCGGGGTAGAATTGTCCGTGATACCAGACAAACAAATATTGCCTTAAATCGCAAACGCATTCAAAGCAGAACATACCAGATTGAGTATACAGCTGTTTCGTTCATTGTTCTTTAGCATCCATTTTATATGGGAGCAGAAGTTCTAAAAGTCTGCTCCTGTGACAGTCGTAACTTCGGAAACATAGTCACCGAGAGGAATTGAAACGTGTGGCGTGGTTCCATGAATTACATTTGTTTCTAGATCATGGTAATGTATGACTGTGGTGCATATACCATGAGGCCATGGAACCCAGGTGTCAACAAGGCACTCAGTTAGATGACTGTGTTTCCATAGTTGTATATGGAGGTGTTCAGTTGTCATGAGTTGAATACAGTGGTTTCATTTATTGATTGATTTGATTTTTACGGCTTATCAACCGTTTGCATGTTATTTAAAGTCAGAAAATATTTTTAGAATGTAAGAATTTTTTGAGCGGAAAATAACGATTTACTGATACACGTTCCACTAATTAACTCATACCTGGTGGGGAGAAGAGATGGATTCATGCCTTCCACAAAGTGAAAGTGAATATAACGATCTCGATTGGAATTGGAACTCAGCTCTCCGATTTCCAATTTCGACAGCCGCACACTCAAGTGTACAGCACCAAGTATTCCCAAGCGGTCACCCAACTAAGTACTGACCAGGCTCTACGTTGTTTAACTTTGGTGATCGTATACAGACTGGTGTTTCAACTGTCATCCGGTGGTCCGCCTAAATACGTCATTGACCCGTAAACTCTCTGATACACTGTTTTAAACTCTCTGATACACTGTTTTATGTTCATTCACACGCAAACATTCACTCCATGTTCCGAAATAACAATGAGATTTTTTTCAAGCGGAAAAATATCCTGTCTTTTCGGTCCCAAGTTGGCAAGAAATGGTTTCAGGAACATTTTGGAGGTCTGACGGGAGCAGGACTTTCGCCCGATATGAGCCCCAATCGAGATTGTATTCGCGCGCAAGATCATGCAACTACAAATGTCTGGGAACTGTAGACAGCTATCGATATAGCCTGTTTCAAAACCTTTCTAGAACTTTCTTATCACTTGTGGAATCAATGTAAGATCAAGCTGCTGAACTTTATCGGGTTAGACTAACACCATATTACTTTGATATTAAATATGGCTAGGTCTTTTCACTCATCAAATAATGTCTCTCAATAACCCATCTTGTCTTGAGTTCTGTCATCAATTATTCTTTTATTATTATTATTTACATTATTCGGACTATTGTCTTCATCTTTGTTGCCATATTTATTACAACGTTTCGGCCGTTGTACGCTCCGGCCTTCTTCAGGTGTTTGAAATGTCGAACTGAACCCTTTATTTCGCTCACTGGGTTAGACTGTTCTAATTACACGTGCCTTGTTTTAATGGATGTCAGCTATCAATTATCTCCTGTTAATGAGCACTGGTAAAAAAGTTTGCTGAAGACATTAGGTTTATAATACCCAGAAATTCACACACAAGGACACATGGCACAGTGGATAAAGGCGTTAGTTAGATCCAGTGACAGGACCCAAAGAGTGTGAGTTCAATACCCAGTTAAGGCAGGGGAGAACTTTCAGAGGGGAATTAACAGGAGATAACTGATAACTGACATCCATTAAACATGGCACGTGGGACAGTCTACCTCAGTGAGAGAAATAAAGGGTTCAGTTCGACATTCCAACCACCTGAAGAAGGCCGGAGCGTACAACGGCCGAAACGTTGTAATAAATATGGCAACAAAGATGAAGACAATAGTCCGAATAATGTAAATAATGTAAGAACGATATTGAACAAAAATCAATATCCTCTACCGAACGTTCGAAAGAATAGGACACAAAACTTTTCAAAACAGATAAGATGATCTGGGATTAGAATGAAAGCAGTGATGGCACCTACCCTAAATCTATCATAAATAATCATTATGTTAAATTAGGAAATATTAAATTCTACAGATGCGTAGGTGTATGGGTCAGTTATAAAAAAATTCACCTCAAATAAATAAATATCCTAGTCAGATCGGGACTTTCATATCGATGTAATTTATGGCGCCAAAAACGTTCAGAAATGTCTAAGATGGCAGATGCATACAACTGCTTTTTCAGATCAATGATTAAAAATGGCTTTGAATGAATGAAACCTGTAGGCTTATCTTATCGAGGACCGTCTTTCTTGGAACCTTGTGTACTGGTGATACAGAAGATGGAGACCATATTACAGAAATCACGCCACTTTGAACTTTCAACAGCAGCAGCAACTAAAATAGACCACGCATGTAACTCGAAGAGAAAATAATAACATAATTGAGTTGTAAATCGACACTATTTCAAAGAAAAGGTCAGGAAGGAAACCCCCACCCACCCATCAATACTGAGAACGGTTATAAAGTCAACTCTACCTGAGAAACCTGTTTTCATGAAAAATTGTTTTAATAGAAAGATTTTACTGATATCAACCAACAGTGACATTGGTTTCTTGATCAATGAATGCTGAATATTTCCTTATAAGGAAATGGCTAATATTATTATTACTATCCTGGGTTTTTCTTTGTATTGTCTGTCTCTCTTCCGCTGCAGCGCAAATGCTTAAAGCAAATTAGATCCAAGTAACTAATAAGTCTGCCCAATTAGCCATAAACAAAGTTATTGCTTGTCTCAGGACGTAACCTTACGTAAATTCATTTTTCAGTTTTTATTCGCTTGCAAGCTATTTTTCTCGCTTTTCTTGACTTCCCGTCAGCTGAGTCAATGTCTGAAAAAGTCGTTGTCCAATCTGAGGAAGACAAAACGATCTTACTCGAACGAGAAACGTTATTGTGTTAGATTTTCTTAATTGAATTTATCAACTTGGTATCATTGGAGTTGACTTCGATGCAATGATCAAATCTAAAAGAATTAAACAAGTGAAATGTTACAAAGAAAACCGAAGCAATAACTGCTGATTCACAAACGACATTAGAAAATGGTAGAAACTATAAAACTTCTTTTTTCTTTTCTTACTTCATCATAGTCTTCCTCTTCTTTTTATTAATCGACTTACATTTATTTCTTGCTATCTTCCTTTTCTTTTATTCATCATCTTCCTTTTCTTTCTCTTTCTCCTCCAAAATACTTTTCTTCTTTTTCCATTTTATTCCTGTATTTTTGTTATTCTTTTATATATTCACATTTCTTTATTAGGGGGTTCAATTTGAATTAAGGGATTTTTCTTAAACAATTTGTAATAACAATTTATCTTCTGATGTTTCTTTTTTTCTTGAGGTTATAAATTTCGAGTCCTGGCGCCAAAGTGAGCAACTTATAATTCTCTATTCGCATGTATTTTATACTCATTTTCACTCATAAACAATGCTTACATATTGACAATTATCTCTATCTATAAAAGGCAGGATGATGTGTGTGTGTGTGTGTGTGTGTGTGTGTGTGTGTGTGTGTGTGTGTGTGTGTGTGTGAATGCACGGCCGCAATTTTCGACAGATTTGCACCCAAATTTACATGCACATGCTCCAAGTTAGCGGGAAGGCCAAGACCGACTTTGCATTTCCCAACTCCCATCGATAGTGGAAATAATCGATTTTTTCATGCTTCTACAGCAGTTTTCATGTAGTTTGCGGCCACTTTCTATTGGCCAGAGTGAGAGCCTATAGCTGGCTGCCATGAATAGGCAGGAAGATTCTATTGGCCTGCGTGAGAGCCAACAGCTGACTGACACGAATGTTAACTGGCATGCTAGCATGCAAAAAAAATCGATAGCTGCATTCGTCACAAGTGGGAAAAATTTAAATCTGCATGACACTTTACTCCAATTGGCTCATTCGCTTTCTTAAACTCAACGTTGATTCTGATTCCGCAGAACTGGGTTGGGTGTGAAAAAGTATTTGTTGTTAACATTCTTTTTTCATTCGGTTTTTCCAGTTACGAGTCCTTTTTTAAAGCTGATCTGTTTGTGTTCATTTTGTTTAGTTCTTTTTTCGTAACAGATTTAATGTTTAGTATAGAGCTTAGAAAAAATTCGCAGTGTGAGATAGGTAAGAATTAAGGCATGTAGCAACATTACTACGTCAAAGGGCACTCCTTTAAAGGCAAGGAAGGGCAAAAATATTATAAGTCAAGTGATAGCGATTGCTGTATGAGTCGTACGATTTTCGAATCAAGCACGGGCAACGCCGGGCCATGCTGCTAGTATCTTTATAAAGTCTATCAAAGTTGTAAATGAGTTCGCATGTTGTGTAGCCTCAGAATTGAGATAAAATTTTGCTAACAAACCAATGAAAGCGTTTTCGCAAATACAGTTTCTTCATTTTTAGTTTTCATCTTTCTTCCGACTTCTCGGCTGAGTATCTTTCACATTTCTTGAGATTTGCATATTCTGAACCCAGTTTTAGAAAAACTATTTCCGTTGTGGCATTCTGGACATATTCGTGATAAAAAAAAAGTAGCACTTAAGACTTCCTATAAATATATTGATATTTTCGCCTCGCAAATTTCTAGCAACGCAAAAATTAGTATAACTGCTAATATTTACGATCTATACAGGCTGGATTCGTTTTTAGACTGGCTAAAATATTTTAATTGCAGAAATATTTCTGTCACTCAAATCTGTGAACTGACCCGTTGAAATGAAGGTAAGGAGAGAACCTGTATTCCATTTTTCCATCAGGGAAACCATTCCTCTAGCCGAAATGTTCCCTTACCAATTAAGCTACGGAATACCGTCAGGATAAGTCACAGCTTATTTAAGTAATGCACACCTGTCGCTGGGAAGTTTAGAATTTACATTTGCTAGGTTTAGTTTCGTACTCGAAACCTAAACACATTAACTTTTTTTTTATAAATCTTTTAATCCAACATTATTTCTTATTAATATAAACGTTATTGAGTGTTTGTGTTGGCAACCGTTTATTTTTTTCTTAAACATTAAAATTAATGTCAACCGGCCTAGATCTAGAGGTCCTAATGAATAATGATTGATCTTTTAAAACTCCACTAAAAATATACTGTTTACGTTTCGAATACAAGAATAAAGTTAGCAGATATACATTCGAAAATCCACAGAGAGAAGTCTGCATTCCTTAGGTGGGTAATTGATTTTTTTTTTCTTATCATGGTGGTCTTCCATGGCCTAATTAATAAAAAAAAACTATACAAACAAGTTTCAAAGACATAAAGCTGAGGAAAGATGAATAATAGTTTGGCTAAAAACACGACGATCAAACTAATGATTAAAATCCGTTATTCTTTTATGTCTCTTATCTCTTCAAAATGTTGCTGATCATGAATCTCCACGACTTCCTATTGCTTGTAGCGCTAATAATTATTTCACTCATCAGTCACCCTCTGTATTCATCTTCTGTCATCCTTTTACACAGGCTTGTTAGGGACGTTAACCGCTACCTCTTTTGAATTTAGTAAGCCCTGTGAGTGTCAAATTCTCCAAACCTCTTTTCCACATTATGTTCTCTAGAAATTGCCACTTTTTCAGATTTTAAGTATGAATGCCCCCTTTGTTCCCATTTTCCTTAAAACTTCCTTGCTGTTCACATGTTCCTTCTATGGTATTCTACATCTCAGTTGGAAACAAAGCTACGAGTGCTCGACTGTTATATGATTAGGATACCAGAACGAGTGGAATAAGTATATATTTAGTTCAACGTTTGCGTTAGGCCTGCTTTTGTGACAAGGCGTTTTGTTAACAGTCCATTAGT